TCTCGGGTACTAATCATCACATATCAATGAATGTTTATACATGGATGCTGTAGGACAATAGACAGACCTGAATAATTGTGGGTTAAAATATGTACATATTAATTACCCAATTTGCATAATTAACCGATTTTAAGCTTTCACACTGATATCTAAAGTACTAATTTCCATTTTAATGAAACTTAGTACAAAGATGCTCTAGGACAATGTACAAACCTAATTAGTTTGGGGTAAAACTCTGTTCATATTATTTCCCTAATTAGCATAATAATTCATAATTTGTTGGTTCAAATCACATTTCAATTAAACTTGGTACATAGAGTTTTTGTTACATTGCGCAGACCTCATTAGTTTTACAATCAAATCTGTTCATGTTAATTTTCTGATTTGCATAATTAGTTTTCAGCTAAGTAATTTCAAATTATATTTAATGTGTCTCCAATACTCTCAGCACATGGGAGTTCTTTCTAAGCTTTCTTTGATTGTGAGTGAATCCTGAAAAGTATGCAAATTAGTCCGCCATGCTTGCCTCTGAGCCTGGGAAGAACACTGTATTCCAGGCCTCTACAAGTAATATAAAGTATCAAACCGAGATACATATCGATGGTGCTAATGGCATACGAGTAACAATGCATGAATAACATTTCTCCTAATTCCAACAGGGACTATGTCATTAACAATGACTTGTTTTTTTTAACTATTCCAGGCCTCTACAAGTAATACAAAGTATCAAACCGAGATACATATAGATGGTGCTAATGGCATAGGAGCACTGAAAGTACAGCAGTTACTGAAATATTTAAATGAAACAATCACAGTTACTATCTACAATGATGGATCAATAAGAAAACTGAATGACAATGTAAGTCTGTTTATATTTATTTTTTATTTACAATGAAGAATTTAAAAAAAAAATCTTGGGTAAAAAAGTTTTGCTGTTTTTTTTTCAATTTAGAAAGCACAAAAGGTATCAGATTTCAAGATTTAAATTATTTGTTTTCAAAATTGAACAGACACTGCACAGTATCGTGTATGGGTTATATTCAATGTATACAATGTATTTAAAATGCATTATTTATTTATTTATTTATTTACATGACATTCTTACACTGTTTTTTCTTTACATTACTGCTATATTGTAACACAACTGTGTGTATATGCAGTATTCTTGTCTTATTGTGCCAAAATATATTTTAGCTTGTTTTTCTCATGAACCACAATCATTACATTTTAAGATTTTGTTGGAAATTTATTGTGTTCTACATTTAATGCTGAAATTGCTATATAGTCTCTTGACTATATTGTAAATTTTGAACCTTGCGTCAATTCGCCGTTTAGTGTCCACTCTGAGATGATTGGTTAGGCTGGTTTTTGTGTTATATCTGAAATAAATCTTTTTACTTGGTTTTCCTTTTTTTAGTGTGACTGCAAAATCTTGTCTGATCAAGAATGAATGAAAATTTACCCTCCCTAAATTTATGTTGCTATAGTAACTGTACAGTGTGGTTTACACTCCCGTTTTCTGCAATACTCTCTTTAAGATCATTCCAGAATGCATCCCGAGTTATTTCATTATACCGATACCATTTGTTTTGTCTTTTCTTACATATTGGCAAACGCAGCATTAACGGCTGCAAGTTTTTATTTATGCGCTCAAGGTTTGCAAAAACCATAATATTTTCGTGGTCATTGAATAATTTCTCAAATGCTAATTGTAATTCTAACATACAGTATTTGTCTTGCACAAAATTATCTGATAAAACAAACATTATTTTTCTGGTGCGCTTCAATATCAAATTACTTGCGTACGAAAGTCTGTTCACCCCACCTCGCATGTCTCTGTCGTTTATATGGACTCTGATCTGAAGATGATTTTCAAGAAATGGTAACAGATGGTCGATGACCCAGTTTTCGTCAGTAATGTTATACGAAATATGGACGTCATAGTCATATTCATCTAAATTAATAAGATTTGTATGTTCCGCATGTCGAACGCAGTTCAGTTTTAAGCGGACTACAAACCAAATGTATCGTATCTCGTATCTGCAAAATTTATACAAAAGGAAGCTGAGCCCCATGCATGCTGTGATTATGGCGAACGTCACCAACACAATTAGTATTTTGTCACATTTCCATGGAGAGGAATAGGCATCAATGACATAGGTCATTTTTGGTTCACTGCAGTTGTAATTCTGGAACCAGAATGGCCGGCCGTCATACGCAGCTGCCTCGGATGTCCAAATTGTTGTGTGTTTTTTCAGAAACCTATGAAACCTGTCTATCGTGCAACCGCAATCAAACTGACTACCATGCAGGTAGAGTGATTCCAGATTTTTCATATCACTAAACGTTTCAGTTTCAACAACGTCGAACCAGTTGTCGTGCAAACCCAATTTCTGTATGTTAAGTAGTCCTTTCCAGGCTGCGATGTTTGTTATGCGGTTGCCGCTTGCATCGAGAGTTTGTAAATTTGTCAGCTTACTAAAAGGATCACTTCTGGGAAGTAAGTGGTTACCTATGTGGTTATTTTGCAGTTGTAACTCTTTTAGATTTATTAGTTCTGTAAATATATTCCAGGGAAAGTATTTGTAGCTTTCTGCATGTAATAGCGAAGATATATTAAGCGTTTTCAAATTTATCAACGCCTTTCTATTTTTGTAGAAGTATCTCTCTATTTGGTGCATGTTATCAACGTAAGACATACTGAAATCTAAGTGCGTCAGCTCACTGACGAACGTTGAACATGTCTCTGACATATCATCTATCGAGAAATTACGCATGTCATTTTCAATAGTAGTCATCGAAATGTTCAGTTTTTTTAGTGATGTCAGATTACAAAGTGGAAGTTGGAAAGAGCTCCCCCAGAAATTATAACTGATGTCCAACTCTTCCAGACTTTCCAACTTAATGAATTGTTCTTTTACGATTCGTACTTTGCCTTGATCTGATAGCTTGAGCTTTTTTAGCTTTTTTAGACCTTCAAATCCTACAAACACCAGTATGTTATTTGACAAGTTCAGTTCAATGAGCTGGCTGTTCTTGAAGGTATCTGCTTTTATATTCCAAATGTAGTTGTCGCTGAGGTCCAGCTCTGTAAGGTACTCTAGACCAAGAAACGTATTTACAGCTACATTTGTAATACTGTTTGACATCAAGTTTAACTTCTTAATCAAAGGACACCATTGGAACATTCTTTCTACAAGTCTTGGGATTTGATTGTCACTCAGGTCTAAATCTCTAAGCCATACATTCTGTACAATGTTGTGGTGAGATTGTAGTAGAATGTTTGAAAGATGAGAGATGTCGTTAAGTAATAAAGAATGCGTTTTTAGTTTGTTCTTTGTCAGTAGGGTTTCAAACGTGCGTGTAAAATCAGTTCGAATATTTGTAGAACCCAAATTCAATAAGATCGGATTTTCAAAACTGGTGAGTGCATCAGGATCTAAATCTTTCATCTTGTTGCCATGGAAATCAAGTTCTGTTATATTAATGGTTTTAAGACCTTGGAAGGTGTTTCCCATTACAGAGATGCTATTGGCAACATTTGCTATGTTTAGATATGTGAGGTTACGACACTTGCTGTATGACTCATCAAATTTGATCGTTGTAAATAGATTCTTTTCGTAGTTGAGGCGTTCCACAGACTGTACATTATTGCACAAGTTCCCTATTGCACCGCGTAACAGATTGCAACTTACATCAAGTGTCTGTATTGTGAGCGAATGAAACAATTTTCCATCAATGTTTCGCAGCTGATTTCCATGCAGAGAAAGAATTTTCAAGTTAATGAGTGCATCAAATGTCTCGTTCATGATGGCTGAAATATTACAACGTTCAAATTTCAGTACTTCCAATTTTGTAAGCCCTCGTAAAATCCCAGAATGCAATGTGGTGAGATTACAGTCACTGAAATTTAAAGCATTTAAATTTACAAGATCCTTAAATGCACTGTTCTGTATCGATTGAACTGGGTTGTTCCTCAGATCTAACGAAGTCAGTTGTTCAAGTCCACTGAAGTTGTCTTCGTCAATATTCAAAATATTATTGTCTCTCAAATACAACTGATGAAGCCCTTTGATTTCCCAGAACGCTCTTACTTCTAGTTCGTGGACATTACTCGAATCCAGCCAGAGATTTCGCAATTTTTGGAAACCTTTAAACATATCTTGTTGTACACATCTGAAATTGTTTTTATCGAGCCATAATGAAGTTAAGGATTCTTTATTTGGAACATCGTCTGGCACTGATGTTAGACTGTTACCACCACAGTCTACTAATAACATGTTCTTATAATCACAATGACACATGATGTTTCCACGACAACCAGCAGTATTTAAGATAGCTGCAGACAAGAGTAGGAGTAAACGATACATCCTGGTTCTGAAAACAAACAAACAGTCTTTAAATGAATAGTAGTAATATTATTTATTGCAAAGACTCGGCTGAACACATTATGAGATTAGCACGTTGAGTAATATATTGGCTACTGTAATAAATGCAACAACTATATTTACTTATGTTACCATTGCACTCAAGGAAATTTCAAACGTCGAACATGAAGTACTTCCGAGTTTAGTTGTGTTTAGCGAGCACAAGACGCACAATTCAAACAGTGGTGCATGATGGGATTTATAGTAGAAAAGACAATAAATGTTTTAATCGATAAATGACGTAATGTGTCAGTTTTCAATAATTATAACTTGGGATGCAGTAACTCCAACTAAGCTTTGCTGACAATGAACTTATCCACTTCCCCAGAGTAATTATTCATCTGGGCTGTTTTTGTCAAATTACTGGTTTGATTTTTCTTATTAACACAATGTTAAATAATTTTCTCTGGTATCATATTTCACAGTCATTGTTTTATCAAACTCATGATCAGTAGATTGGTAGTTCAAATCCTACCTTAGTCCTAGCACCAAAAAAAGGGTTGGCCTCCTAGCTACCCTGGGTGAGTGTGCCACAGACTCAAATGGGAAGGCCAATTCCACTGGCTGAGTTTCATTTACTAACGAATGTGACTTTGGGGGAACCTTGGTTAAGGTCTGCAGGTGCTTGTGTTCGACCAAGCCTGGTTGATGCCAGGATAGCGCATTAAAATTGCCATTTGACAGGGAGATGGCCACACAGCCCTGTCATGTAGTCCCAAACATGAATATGGTATCAGCACTAGCACTTGCAGTTTGCACATGAAAAAATAGTTAAACAGTCACATTCAATGTCCGAAACTGTCGCCTGGCACAAAAACATTTTAATATTGCACAGTTTCACTTCTTTAGAAATAATTGCAGCTATATTGGGTTTACAGGGTATATCTCGACAACTGCATGTAATGAGGTCCCAACCATCAGACTATATTGCCATTTTGTTTTTTCAAAGTTTAATTGCAAACAGTAAAACCTTAAATATTAAATATTCTGTGACAAACCATGTATTAAAACAAACCACTAACTGTAATGTTGTGTTAAAGAATTGACTGTACACTATAAAAATGTGCATTGTTTTATGAATCTTATAGTTGTGAAATACAAAATGTTCGTTCACGATCTTGTTTAAAAATTTAATTAAATTATAATGATGTTGATTTAAAGTTGTTCATATGCTTTTACCTGCTAATTTGAGAGCAGAGGCAACAATCAAAATTTTATTTTCCAAAAGTTTTATGTAATTATCAATTTGTTTATGTTCATTTTATATTGGTAAGTGATTATATAGCTGTTTGTAATACATTGTTGATTGATGTACTCCTCCCACATCCAGTTTTAATTTCCATTAAAATGTAATACCAGTCCCCTCATCAGCTGTTTTTGAGTGTACAGACAAATTGATCCTATCAGTATTGTGCAATGAACTAATTAAATAACTTAAATTCTAGATTTGTAAACGTGGGGAATTTGCTAGTAATAATAACGCTGCAAAAAATAACAATAATGAAATCCAGCATACAAGACAGTGTGCTTATTTTCAGGGTTTTTTTTGCATGAATTGTCTTGGCCATACTCTCACCCCCGTCCCACTCCCACAAACACAAAGTAGTATACAGAGTTTCAAACTTACCTGGCATTCAAGACAACACCATCTGAATGAATTGAGCTGCCTGGACTCTGTATGTGGTTCCTATTCTTTAGAAATGTTTTATGGGTTTTACCGGAAATCTAAATATAGAATACGTTGTAATTTCTGCACATCCATATATGGCAGCCTAGACTGTCTGTTCCCTTTATCATATAGATTGAGGTTCTTTTATGTCTATGATGTTTGAGGTCAAACATTGTGGCTGAAAGGTTTCCCAAGACAATTGTCTTGTCTTGTCATGTCATGTCGTGTTAGAAACTTTGTACTAATTGTTAACGTTCTGCTTCGGTTCCGTGAAATTGGGCTATATTATTTCAGTGCTGTTGGAATTAATACATGTATAAAAATTAATATTTACATGGAGAATAAGTGACAATTTTGAGTTATTGACATGATAGCTAGCCGGACTAAGATTTGAATTTTTGAGATAAAATAAATAAATAACACATTTTACATAATGTTTACATATTATTTTTAACTATGTATATTGAATGTGCTGTCTTTCTTTAATAATACATAGCAAAATAAAAATGTAAATGAGAAATACTATATTTATTTTAAATTACAGTAATTTTTTTATGAAAAAAATAAGTATGGTTTGAATGATTTATCTAATGCAAGATGTACTTCAAATACAGTATTCAATGGCAGCTTTAATTTTTTCACCACTAGACTTTCTTGCCCAAATTTTTCTGCACTTTTTCTCATATTCTTCAATATTTCTGGAAATCAACACTAATTTTGGAGCCAACAGACAAAATTTGAGTCAATTATCAGGTTTTAACCTAAAAAATTGGGCTTTTTTTGTCCAAATCTTCCGAAAGAAAGTGCAGACTATAAACAGGACTACCGGTATTTTGTGAATTTGTGATGAAAAGTAGGAACTGGTGGTGAAAAGGTAAATGTAGTTCATAGACAATTGAAACATTTGATTGTTAAATTTGAAAATTCACTTTCACATTTAACTATAAGCATAAATTGGGAATAAAGTTTGTAAAATTGTTATCTTCATAAAAAATCTATCTTAGTGCAGTGTACTTTGTTGACATACTTTAAATAGGGGAAATTTCTTGAAAATGTTTTAGAATAGAAATTAGTGTATTTTCCTAAAAGTTGTCCTGTTTTGAATTGAAGACGGTGAAATGTTTTGGAACTTTGGAAGCCTTTACAAGAAGTACAATGTGTGTGGGTGTGAACTGTTAAGGAATTTTGAGTTATTGTGAATGTAAATAACCGTAATAATAGTCAATTCTGCGAACTGGATGTAATTTGAAGGACACAGGTGTGTGACCTGCAAAGGTCATTTTAGAGTTTTTACCTTGCCCGTACCATCAAAGATGGAAGGGAAAGGTATATTAAGGGGAAAATTTTGTCCGTCGTTGTCGTTGTTGTTGTTGTTGTTGTCGTCGTCGTCGTCGTCGTCGTTGTTAATTATTGTTATTGTGTGCATAATAACTTTACTAATTCTATTCCAAACTTTATCAAACTTGGTCACCTTATTCATCAGTATAAAGTCTTCCCTGAGTTTGAACAACAGATGTCCTGTATGAAAATATCATGCAAAAATTGAGAAAATCTGATAAAATATTTTGACTGTTTCTACTTGACTGATCACTGGTGATACACATCAAACGTCACTGATCTCAGTGGAAATATGCATTGTTGTATGTGTTCAATGAAGCAAATGATTTATCTTGTAATAATATCCTTGGTAATGTATCTCAGAATCCCATACTGGGTTTCAAAACCAACTCATGGAGAGATTGCTGATACACATTTGCAAACCTACCAATAAAATCTTTACAGAAAACAAGATGTCAGAAAATCAATATAAGCACTCCTATGAACTGGGTGCCTAACTTTGATCAAGATCTGAAGCTAATAGAAAATCTGTTTAGTTCAAAGTTATCAAATCAAAAACAATACATAAAAAATACATTAAAAGCAAAACATTTCATCCACATTTTAAAAAGAAAATTATTCTAAAATATATGTATTCTGTATTTGACAAACAGTTCATTCGACAAATGAAAACTCACAGGAATATATTTCAGCTATTAGAACAGAATGATATAGTTTTTATAATACTAGTTTAAAAAACGCACTTCAGAGATTGCAGTGTTTGAAGATGTAGATTCTCAGGAGGCAACAGTACTGTTGACTTCTCCCTCCACTGGATACCAACTATTTAAATTGATTTTTTTTGCAAGTTTTCGACTGTGCGATTAAATCAGTAACTGTTATAAATTTGTTATTATTTCATTTTCAATTATTTTCAGTGTGGTGCTGACTACGTCAAGCTCCATCAGAAACCTCCCAATGGTAGGTACTTGTACTGTATTATACATTAAAAGGAGCTGTGTCATATTTGATATAGGACTTGTAACATTGTATACAATACTCATAAAATACATTGTTTGTTTACATGAAATTTGAAAGTCTGCCACAAAAATCAAACTATCGAAATTGACCATCATCAGCAGATTATTAAGCATTGAAATATCTCCAAAAATACTTTTGTGTTTATCAAATCCCAAGCGATGTTTGTTGCCACTACAATGCCATGACGTTTGTTTGTCATGTTTTTTTGTTCGATTTCTCGCCCAATGCGGGATCTATGGTAAATTTTATGATATCTGTTGATATTTGACAAGTTGTTTATGGTGTCATTTATATGAGCATACATTTTTTGTCTATAACAATTTAATATTCTATGCTATTTGGAATTACCATATGTACTTAAATGAGGAGCCAAATTCCATAGCTCGCTATTGAAACTTTATGGTTAAACTTTTAGTTGAGAAATAAAACTATTTTGGTTGATGCTGAAAAAAAAATATAAAATTTTCTGCCAACTTTAATGCTTATACTTTATAATTGTGTACAGACCTGATTGATTATTTATAACTAATCAGCATAATAATTAGCAAATTCTAATGTGCAAATCTGATTCGATTTTGGGTGGAAACTATGCATATTAATGACCTCATTTGCATATTAAATAGTCAATTTAATTTTTTAACTTTTTCTTCCTCAAGAATTATTTAGCAAATTAATTAACTATTGTTATATTCTGTAGGTCATACTGCTGAGCTATATTACCCAGTAGTCACCAGGTTTCTTGTACCCTATTTTCTGAGACATGTACCTTTTCATGTGCCTGCAATACTTTTAGCACATGGGAGTCCTTTCTAAGCTTTCTTTGAGCATCTACTTTTGATTCCTCTAGATATGAATCACTGAGAATAGTGTTGCATTGACTACAAGTTTGGTAATATGAAGTCCATATACCGTTGAA